GAAAGCCACTGTGAAAGGTGAGTTGATGAGCAGCGCTGCCAAGTTCACCCAAGCACTGGTGCTCTCTGAAACACGTGTGTAGATGGGGGCTCACCTACATGCCCACGAATGCACCAATGACCTTAACTGGAAACTCATACCTAAACCCAGGATTAAACTGGGCCTAGATGCTGAATGATACATACCTATCTGTTCACCAAATGCATGTGGGAATGTGCATGTAATGCCTGTGGGAGGACTGCAGGCACAGCATGCACGTGGTGGTGCAGCAGGCTCCCTGCCATAAGCATTTGAGACATGGATACCATGGCACCATGTGCTTGGAGACACGTGCAAACTGCTGCGTATGACATGCACTGACTCCTGCCAGCTTTTAAATTGCCAAGAGGCTAACCTTGTGCTGAATTCTGACTTTAATATCCCCAATTATCTCTGAGGAGCTTAAATAAACATGCCCTGTTTGCTGGTTCCTATTACTTCCATATAACCAGCAAATGACTTTCTGCTCATGTTCCAGCTCTGTTCAAAACAGTGCTCCTCTTTTTTATTCTATACACTGACAGCAGTACCAGAGTTCAACACAGGCTCGGAATTAAATTCATTAGCTGTTTAGTTTAGTTTGGCTGGATTGTACCTTGTCATTCACTTTTAAGAGGATTTCCCTATGAAACCTATTGAGCTTTTCTTGCAGTGCTTTTGGACAATACAGCCTTTGGCTATTGTGCTTGTAGTTGGCAAATAGATTGAAAATGGGAGGCTGAAATACTTGTTGCCCTGTGCCTCTGCAGGAGCTCCAGACCCCAGGGCAAGGATAATTGAATAGCCAAGACTTTTAGCCTGGCTTGTGTACATAAAGAGAATTGTGTTCCCATTTGCCATAGTAAAATAGATCAAAGATTGAGGATGCTTCAGAAGCTGCTGCATTGCTGCAGCTGCGTGGCCACGGAGGGTCCAGGACGTAGAGGCAGCAGCAGCAGGCAGGGCAATGGGGGTGGCTGAGCCCCCAGGGAGCCCCCAAAGCCCCCTGGCTGTCTGGGTAACAGCACAGCCACCACTGCCTCAAAACAGCCATCACCCCAGGTTTGCAGAACATGTCAGACAGAGCATGGCTGATTTCAATACATATTCTGCATCTAAAATATACAGTATTGTCTGAGTGCTCTGAATGAATCGTTACTTTTTCTGCCCGTGCCAGGACTTTCTAATATCATGCCAACCACTCTTTGTGTGTGCATAAGGAAACAGATGGATATATGTGGTGATAGGCGAATATACAGAATTTTTACATGGCAGCTTTTTGCTGTCCATGCAGCGCATGTGTGATACGTCGTATGTCTATATTATCATTTAGATTAAAATCGTTACAGAGCAGGTAAAAGTCTTCAGAAATATTCCTTGAAAAGAAAACATGTGGTTTTTTTTCTTTTTGCTCCAGATTTTGGGAATGCAGCTCTGATTTTCCATTTCAGAACACCTTTGATGCTTGATATATCTGTACCAATTAATGGGGATAGAATCGTAGAACCAAAGAATCATTAAGGTTGGAAAAGACCTCTAAGACTATCAAGTCCAACCATCAGCCCAAGACCACCATGGCCTCTAAACCATGTCCTGAAGTGCCACATCTACACGTTTTTTGAACACCTCCAGGGATGGTGACTCCACCACTTCCCTGGGCAGCCTGTTCCAATGTTTGACCACTCTTTCAGGAAAGAAATTTTTCCTAATATCCAATCTAAACTTCCTCTGGTGCAACTTGAGGCCATTTCCTGTTGTCATATCGCTAGTTATTTGGGAGAAGGATAGCATTACAATGACCGGGAATGTTTAATTAGTTATACATAGAATCATAGAACAGTTTCAGTTGGAAGAGACCTTCAAGATCATCGAGCCCAACCTTTGTCCCAGCTCTACTAACACCACTAAACCATGTCCCTAAGTACAACATCTACCCATCTCTTAAACACCTCCAGGGAGAAATTGATTCATCTGCAGGGACTGAAAGGAGCACTTGACAATTTCTGCTGCTGACTGTTGACTGCTTTGACAGGTGCATGGATGGCTATTACGGAAACCCTCTGAACAGAGAACCCTGCCACCCCTGCATGTGCCCAGGGGCGCCTACAAGCAATAGGTATTTTGCCTATTCCTGTTACCAGGACAACCAGTCTGCACAACTAGTCTGCAATTGTCTCGAGGGATATTCAGGTACGAAGAAAAACAAGGACCAGTTTTGATTCTATATGAATGTAAGAGAGAAAAATGACCATCCTCTGCAGATCCTCTGTTCAGAAATTACAAGTGAGGTAAAGGTAATAGAATAGATAAGAAAAGTTAACACTCAAATTTATTGAAATTAGGTGGGGAAGTCCTCATTGAGAAGAGTGGGAATTGTGTTTGAAAAAGGGATTCACTTATGTGGATACAGTGAAACGATTAATTAATCCGATCACACTCTCTGGAAACCTCCTCTTTTCCAGGAGCACAACATTAATCTGGTGGGAACAGGGAGAGAACTGCAGTGGCTCTTTACCTCTGAAAAACAGGCACTGGAAGCCCAAATCGTAAAGCACAAGGCATCAAAAAGAGCTGATAAATTTCCTAAACAGAGAAAATCTTTCTTCATATAGAGGAATCTTAATTTGATATGATGTCCAAAAGTGACTGTTTCACCATTCAAATGGTCACTTTAGAAATGAGGTTTCCGTTCTTAGCTGTCTCAAATGCAGATATTTTTGCAGCAAACTGATGCCTTGCTTCCTAAGATCCCGTGGACTTAGCTTGGTTTTCTGCAGGGAAAATTGAAGATATTTCCCTGCCCCTGGGCATTAGAAAGATCTCCAGTAATGGAAGCAAACCCTAATGAGAAACACTGCCAAAAACTAAGCTGATGCTGTCATCTTTACTTAGGCCAGCTTCCTTTATAAGTCAAGAGCAGGTCTGCTTGAGTAATTGCTGTAGGGCCAAAATGATCCTTATTGATGCTCACCCAGGGGACTTCCATCCTCACAAACCACTGCAATCTTCAGTTCTGGACTTTCTTCCTCGTGGTTCTTTCCACAAGGCTCTTAGTCACCTCTGTGGCACCGGGCTCACTTCCTCAGAGACTGTGAAGTGCTCTGGTCCTGAGGACCACAGTGAAGGAGAAAAGTCCTTGGTTGACGATGAGCCAGTGGATGAGGTCCCAGCAACACCAGCGTGCCCAGAAAGGTTTCTGAGATGCAGAGAGGTAGCACCCCAATCAGGGCAGGCATTGGAATGGTGTGTAGAAGTAATTGCAATGCCAGCAAGCAAGGACAGAGCGTCCTAGAATTTGTCTGACCTCCTGGGAATCCTCCACTGGGTTACAGAAAGGAGGGCAGGTCTGCTGGGCTCTGGGTTGCTCCGGGAAAGGGCACCCCCCCACCTTCCCACGCTGCTGTTGGGCTGAAGGCACCAGGGAAAATACTGCAAATATGGCCAAGCCTGACTACTGCCATTGAAAGGACTTTGCGGGAAAAAGATGTTTGGAGGTGTTGTTTGAGGGGGTATCTACTTACTCTTACTGAAAGGACTTCCTTGGTAAAAAACAACCTGGGTTGAGAAGAGTGTGTTTCCATCAGATTTCAGTGTGGGAGATGTAATTTAAACTGATCATAGGATTAAAGGGCAACAGTCTCAAGCAGGTGGATATTTTCCATTGTAAATGCACATTCAAACAGATAGTCTGAATCTTTTAACAGTATTACTGGAAATTACATGTTTCACTTGAATTCCCATCAACCAGCAATTATTTTTACCTTCCTCTCCAACAGGCAGTCGGTGTGACGAGTGTCCTAGTGGGTTCTACAAAATCCCAGGCAGCCCCGGGCTTGACTGTGCACCATGTCCCTGCAATAACAACATTGATGTGACAGACCCAGAGTCCTGTAACAGGGTCACCGGGGAATGCACCAAGTGTTTACACAACACTCATGGAGCAAACTGCCAGTTCTGCAAACCAGGGTATTTTGGCTCAGCCCTCGACCAAAACTGTCAAAGTAAGTAAGCAACAGTACTGCAACTGCGTATTACTACCAAGAAAAGTTTTAAAGAAATTAGGCTATAGGGAGAGGTTAGCCCTTGGAGGGACAGGAAAACTAGAACAGATGAATGGAGCAAAATATGAGAATACCAAATCTATTTCTGTCCGGTGATACAAGTAACTGTTAATATGGCATCTATTAAATTCTTTGCCATCCAAGTCTCGTGAAATCTCTTAGTGAATGTCGCTCCTAGGAAATACTAATTTGTTAAATGAAATCAGACTCTCTGTTAGAAAAATAAATATGCGTTCAGCCCATTCAGGAAAGAATCAAAAATAAAGGAATCAAAGATAATTGTTTATCCATGTTGCTGGCTGATGCCAGCTAAGCAATGCTCAGTTAACCAGATGATCCCTTGCTGAGCTCCCTGCCTTACCAGTTGTTTTCATTAAGTGGCTAGAATGAGACTGTTCAGGCAATTGACATGAAGACACTGTCAATAACTCAGCACTTTTAACAAAAAGGCAGAAATGTAAGAAAAAGCAAGGCATGAGTTTCTTCCTAATGTTTCTCAAATACTGTTTTCACAAATGTGTCTGATTGAGGGTCTAATTTCTACAGGCCAGACAGTTACAGGTATTTTCAAGAAACTATTTTTCTGGGAGTCTCTAAAATACAGTTCAAGCCCATTCCTTGTTCATTCTTGGAAGACGTCCGTTAGAAATGCTTAAGCAAAAACTTTTGGCTCCTCGTGAGGAAGGCTTCTTATCTTACTTGGCTCACTGGGGTTTCCCACGCTGGAAGGTGCCTACTGTAAATCAGCTTCTTCTTACCCAGCATATTTAACATTTCATTCTAATAAGATTCAAAATTCACCAAGCCTTCATTTTTTGTGTCTTTATTAAAAGTACTGAACATTCCCAGTAAGTTTGCTCAAAGCGATATATAAGCTCTTATAGAAAGACAGGTAAACTGTGTGAGATTAAACATGTGTTCAAGATTACTAGAAGTAAACCTACAGCATGGGCTTTATACACAGCACTGATTGTCCGTCATCAGTCTATATTATCATCTGCTGTAGTAATTATCCCTCTTTTTCCAGGGTGCACGTGCAATCCGGCGGGCGTTCGCCCTGCCACGTGCCCGGGCGGGGACGCAGCCTGTCTGTGTGACCCAGCCATGGGAGCTTGCCCTTGCCTGCCCAATGTGGTGGGCTCAACGTGTGACCAGTGTGCCTCTGGCTACTGGGACCTGGCTAGTGGAAAAGGATGTCAGGTCTGTGACTGTGATCCAAAAAACTCCCAAAGCAACCAGTGCAACCAGGCAAGAAATTTACTCTTCTTTCCAGGAACCAGGGTGGTGGTGTTTGGGCATGGCATGGTGGGGACCCTCTTGTAAATGAGGATAGTTTTTTGTTGTGCTCCCTGAAAACAAGAAGGTTTTGGAAGTTTGCAGTTGATGCGATCACACTTTGGGCCATCATGACAAACATGCTGTTCTGACGATGTGGCTCTGCTTGTAAGCAATTTCTCTTTGCCTGTGTGTTTCTTTGTCAAGTGGATCTTAGAAACACTTTGTAAGAAAATGTCACATCGCGAAAAACTGCCTCGTAAGCATACATCTAGGGAAGAAGGAAGTCCAGGCTTGGACCCCAGAGTCTTATGAGTATTTTTTTAAGTGTTTATTTTCATAAAGTAGCAGCTGTGGCCATTACATTAATCATGCTTCATCTGTCAGACTGCTAGAGCACCTTTTCTCCTCTTTAATTCCTGTGCATTTTTTAGGGCTAGAATGTAGAAAAAGATAAAACAGTGTTTCAGAATAGAGTGGTGAAATTGTGGTCCCATAGAGTCAATAGCAATTTTTCTATTGATTTCAGAGAACCAGGAGCTTATCCCAAGCTCTTGCTGATGTGCTTTCACATTTTCCTTTCCCTATGCTTTCTGTTTGCTCCAGTGTGTTTAGTGGATTTGTTATTTTTCCCAGCAAATGTAGCTCTTAACCTCAAAGAACTTCTACTGTGTTTCTGAGCTGTACTAGATATCAGAGCTCTAATTCCCTGCAGTTTAATTTAATAGCTGAATTCCAAAATAAATTTTCTAGGGCAATGTGCATACTGTACCCTTGAGGTTTTCAGTTACGGTTAATATACCATGTAGTTACAAGTTGAAATGTTAAGATGAGTAGTTTGCTCCAGCAAAAATAAGAATTAATCTGTTTTGCAAAGGAAAAGAATCCTCTTTCAGATCATAGTGAGAGGATGAGTTCTTAAAGAGCATCTGTAGACTGCAACATACAAAATCTTTCATATTAATAAAGTAAAGCCACTTCTCAAAGTCCATTTTGTTTTCACAGCCTTCAGGAGGAAGATGGGAAAGGTGGGCCAATACTGTATAAACCGTGGTGTCCAAAGACCATGTGCAAGTAGTGTCACTGCAGGCCCCATACAGCTATATGGCATACGTCACAGGGAGAAAAAGAAACCCAGTAAATAATGTATATGCAGCCATATGACTCTGCAGGAAGTTATTTAATCCTAACTGTCTTTACAGCTTACAGGCCAGTGTCCATGTAAGCTAGGTTACAGTGGAAGACGTTGCAATGAATGTGAGGAGAATTACTTTGGCAATCCCCAGACGCATTGCATTTGTAAGTAGTACTAAGTGGGGACAACGGGGTTAGAAACTGCCTCAAAAGAAACATTTACCTTTCATATTCACAGGGGAGAGGGGACATACATCTAGAGAAGCAGGTTTTCATACATTTGTGCATATGAGATGGACAGAAGTGTTTATATTATTTATCTGTATTGTTCCTTCTAAGGTTATGATGGGACCATGGAAGTTAGAGTTGAAGAAGAGCCATTAATCAGGCAGTCCACTTTGCTCTAATTCAAACACCAGTTTGCTTTTATGGACTTGAAATGCATAATCGTACCTTTTGCATGTGTTAATCCCATGGAAAAGGAAAAACTGAATGTAACTTGCTGTCCCTTTCTTGCAGCGTGTGAGTGTAACCCGGAGGGAACCAGCCAGCCCAAGTGTGACAAAGTCACCGGCGCATGTAACTGCCGCGCTGGTGTCACCGGCCGGTTCTGCAACCAGTGCGGTCGTGGCTTTGAGAAAGACTTTCCCTCTTGCCGTCAGTGTCATTTTTGTTTTGATCAGTGGGACACTGAAATTACTGCCCTTGCTCAGACTGTTCAGGGGTTAATGAGGTTTGCTGCAAATCTCGAAGATAAAGGAGGACGAATGCCCAGCTGTGACATGCGCTTCAAAGCCTTTGAAGATGCCATTTCTGAAATTGAAAGAATTTTGAGACATCCTGTTCGTTCACCAGAGGCCCTCTCAGGCATCAAGGATTTTCACGGCTATGTTCAGTAAGGGCTCGGCTGCTCCTGAAAAAATCCCTTGGCTGAGAAAGCTCTCTTCCCCTGGGCTCCACCAGCCATCCCTACATATCAAGTCCCGCTTCTGATCAGCAAGTCACTGTTTTCAAAAGATCTGTGAACAAAATAATCCTTATATATATTATCTGTCCCCCACAGGCATATATTTAAATGCTGGAATTTTCCAGTCCATGCTAAGGGTTTTCTAAATAAGTAAATGTAAATGTTTCTGCTCATTTAGAAATGTATCTCTTGTCCTCTAAAATATTGTGTGTCTTAGTTCTAGTTTAAGAACAATCCAGTCTGACTTCTGCATAACTGCCGTTTCCCTTTCAGACAAAAAGTTGCACAAATGGATCCACTTCACAGTAGGCTGTATGAGTTTCCTGACCTTAACAAGAACATAGAAGATATTGGGGAAGAAGCTGACCTAGTATATGAACTTCTACAACAGAAAATACATCTGCATCAAAGTTTTCATTACTTGAATCTCAAAGGTAAGACATCCAGCAATTAATTGAAATAGGTGAACACTTTCCATGCAATTTCAGAATGTTTTTCTCACATTGAACCATACAACATTTCAGAGATCCCTAGATTTTAGCTTCCTATGGTAGCACAAAAATGTAAATGCTAACAACATTTTGTACTGAGTTTCCAAACTCCCTTTTATATTAAAATGCCATGATTTCTAGCACCCTAAATTTCAGATGCATGTGCCAGGGTCATGTCAGTCAGAAGTCTCATGAATCCTGATGTTTACATCAGGATTTAAAAGCCACAGTTTCACAGTATAGACTCACAGATCATACAGTAGAACAGCAAAGGATATTTTCCTCACTTCTGACTCCTCTTGCTCTTTGCAATACTTAAAGAATGTTGTACAGCAAAGGTTTGTTTAATTAAAGCAGAGAGTCATAGTGCAACTTCTTAGTGTTCCCATGGGAAAATACATGACTTTATGTGGTAAGGAACTAGCTCTCCATCATCAAAAAATGTGAAGTCAGAACTGAGTTCCTTGGCATTTTTGAAAGAATTACACTGTCTGTGCTTGAGCTAAGTATAGTCTCCATCAGCTGCTAATAGCAGTAGTGACAATGTCACAGACTGGTTTCTGGAGAAAGACGGGGACACATCAGTCAGGGATCTTGAACAGATGCTAGATCATCCACAGTGGCAGGAGATTGTTAGCAGTATACTCTCCAAAGAGACATCTGCCAAGATACGAAGCTCCAGAAGATAAGCTGTGCATGACAGAAGACACAAGCTACAAGCAATGCACTCCCATTTACCATTCCTCTGTGTTTCATTTAGGTGAGAAAAAGATTGGCCTAGGCAGGATCGAGAAAAAAGAAGCAAAAGTCAACAGAATACAAAGCTGAGGGAAAGGAAGAGGGGGAAAGAGGGATTAATTAAGATTTAGGGCTCCCCTGCCCTGTTGTACTTGGCAGTGCCCCTGGGGCCAGCTCTTCCGCTCGGGTCCCTGTGCAAGCGGTCAGCACAGCTCTCCCAGGCTCCGCTTCCCAACTCAACTGAGTCTTGTGCAGACTCTGAGAAAGGCAGGAAAGCAAAGAAACAATAAATCCCAGGGAGGTCAGTGGATGCACAGCTGAAGTATCCATGGTGCTCTCTGGTCACGTTCCAAACCCACTTTGTCTTTCAGCCTCAGGAGACAGATAAACAGCCCTATAAAAAGCACATGGGGGTGTGGGGAGGGGAAGACCTTGAATTTAAGCTGAATTTCTGGTCAGGGCCATAAATATTCATTGGTCCTGCTACCAAGAATCTAACAGCACAGAAATAACATTTCTCTCAAGATAACCAGCTTCTCTGATATCTGGGAGAAAGCCTGGCTCCCTTACCCCATATTCATTTTGGGACCAGCAGCACATCCTAGGTATGGCTCTGTCTGCTTTTTCCTCTCTCTTTTTTCCTGGGGTAGAGCAGGATAAGGCCACGTACACCATCTGGGGCACAATTGGCACTCGTGCCCTAGACTTATGTGGGGAATGGGCTCCTACCTACCTCTCTTTGCAGAGGATCAGGACTCGGAGACTTCCTCACAAGTATATATTCAGCTGGCTGACCTGGAAATGTCGGTGTCTAATGAATTAAAATCACTGGAAAAAAACAAGACACAAGTGTCTTTAAAAGGACATTTGCAGATTATGAGACCTCAATAAATTATGGCTTTCTAGCCTTGGCCCCTGGCTTTGCAGCCACTGTGGTATAGTAATGCAGTGAGTACAGCTTCCTAGGCTGTAAATAGATCCTGTGCTAAGATGCTGTGTTTAACATAAAGGAACTTGGAAGCTCTGTACAGCTTCATCACAAACCAAGCATGAAAAATGCATTTGAGCTGCTTAATGAAGAGTTGAACCACTGTAGAATATTCTTGCAATGGAATTGTTGCACAGAAAACAGTCTCTGATTTAGATATGGAGTTACAGCAGCCTCTTGCCAGGTATTTTGTATTAGGAGCTAACTTTAAACTGCATGTTGTTCCCAAGAGTTACAAGATAAAATAAATAGCCCTGGCTCCACATGAAAACTAATCATTGTTCAGCTTCAATCAAAGCAAGGTCAAAGGCTTTAGGGCCTGATTCAAAGCAGGCAGGACTTGACGAGTGCCTTGTCATTGACTTCAACTAGTAACTGTGTTGGTTACCAGCACAAAGAGGGACGTTAATCAATGACCTCTAATGCTTTTCCAGTGCTGACACATCAGTTCTGGCTTATTGCACATACTTCTGCCTGGGGATTTGGGGACAACTTTGGGTTCTCTGGAGATCTGAGAAGCCTCGACAGCAGCAGCTTTAAATTATGTGTTTTGCAAAAAGCCTGAGTCCTTTCCTTAGGCTATTAATCTGCAAAAAATGTAACATTCTCCAACCCTTTTGAGTCTGCTTAAGGGAAAGCTTACACTAAGCGAATAAGAAAGAGTCCTGCTGGAAAGTATTTTTTGCCTGGCCTACAACCTTATCATGGAAATGCTTTTTTTGTTAATGCATCAGCCCTAAAATTGGATTTTCCAGAGCCAAAGAAAACTCATAAATTCCCATTTGTAATCTACATTTTGGGCTCAGTTCAGCAGACCATTTAACTTTTGGGTGCTATGCTGAACAGACAGGACAAATGCTTTCCTGACTCACAGAGGCCTGATCATTTCATAAGTTTTACAACTGGCAGAAACAGTTCTCCTGCCTAAACTTCAAAACAGCATAAATGACAGCAAATCAACAATGGCAGCAGTGCATGAGCTACTGATGAATGCAGATCAGTAGCAGTTTGTGTTATTCACAGGATCCCCTTCATACTTTTTATCTTCCATTGCCTTCTCATATACCTGGGACTCTGAAGAATGACATGGGATCCACTGTATTTACATCTATTTAGCAGGTTTTATGTGTATCAATAACTATTCCTGTTTAGCAACTGGCTGAGTAAAGGATTAAAAAGCTTGACTGAGGAAACGACAGCCCCTGTCCTGCCCTGTGGTCCCAAGCCAAACACCAGTGACAACTACATCACCTGTCACTCACCATTTGTTCAGATTTCAAGTAAATACATGAATTAAATGCAACCAAAATACAGTTGGTACTAAACCCTATTTCTGTTGCTACAGAGGCCATCAGCAACATTAGGGAACACTTTGAAGTGTCACTGCTGGCAGAACAGAAGACCAGTGGGACAACCCCTATTGTGAGATACTCAGAGTACACCAGGAACCACACGCTTGCTATGTTGGGCCATCAGGCCTTGAAAGCAAGCAGTGTGCTGGAACAGCTGAAGATGATCAAGAGGCCCAACATCCAAAATTTGAACGAAAAGGTAAGTCCTGTGAATTTTGAATGGGAGCTAAACAAAAATATCTTTTTTGATGCTGTTAGTAGGTTTATTTTAAAAGGGTGCTTACATGCATTTTTAAATCTGGAAAATGATACTTCCCTAGCACAGACATGCAGTCACGTCAGAAACAGCTGCACTTCTCAGCTGTGGTTACTACCACCCTTCTGGAAGCCATTGCTCCGGGGCAGACCCAGCACAAGGAACTGTTTAAGCACTCTCTGGTCTCAAGAGGATGCCAGTGTAAATTCAGAAAGATTAACCCCAACCTCCTCCATCAGTAACTTAAACTAAGCAGAGCAACTTTGCCCTGGAGTGGATGGGGAGTGCTTACATATGCTTTGCATCACCCATGGGAAAGGAAGGGATTTCTGTCCTTCTGTGGGGCAGCAATGAGTACCCGATAGCACTTTCAGTCAGCCCTGCCAGATCTGGAAGAGATCATCCATCTAGGCCTTTAGTCTCAACATCTGTATCAAACTACATGGAGGGCTAGACGTCGTACAAGGCGGTGTGAGAGGTGATCTGGATCCTTTAGAACAAGCCACGGGCTGGATGTGTCCAGGGGACAGTTTCAGCCCTTTTGCCATAGAAGAGTGAAGCAAAGGTCTTAGAGCAACATATGGAGCCCAACAAATGGCTCCTGCAAGGATGCTCAGAGCCATGGGCTGCCATTGCATCCTTCAAGTCAGGGGAGGGGGACCTGTAACTGGCATCTTTGGAGAGAGCAGACCACTGTCTCTTTGGGAAAATCCCATCCTATGTTCAATATTCGTATGATGTCAAACATCTTCCTTCCCCCAGGAGTATATCTCAGGTCCTCAGAGGAGTCCTAACATAAGCCTCTTCCTTATTGCAGATCTGTGGTGTGCCAGGAGACCAGCCCTGTGTCACAGCAGCCTGTGGGGGAGCTTTGTGCCGGGACAGTCATGGACTTAGGCAATGCGGTGGCCCAAACTGCAGCGGAGCTCTTTCTCTCTCCACTGATGCCTTCAGGAAAGCTGAGGAGACTGCTGTGTTGCTAAATAACCTGACTATTCAGCTACGGGAACCTGAGAATCAGGTGCTGTATATCAAACCTACAATTACTCAGTGAAATGGATGGAGGACGAGATTTGGGAGGTCACAAATCTACAATATCTCACCTGCTCCTTGGACAAAGAGCAGTGACATAGTGATGGACTCTGTCCCAACATCATACACCTATCATGGTTCAGTACTGGTGCCGGTCCCATCAAGAGACTGTGGCTCTAGCTATGCCTTCCTCTTCCTCACAGCTGGCAAGATCTCATGGGTCAGGGTGCCCTGTGCCTATGGAAGTTGGTGGCATCAGGCTAATATTGTCTATATTTTTATTGGGAAAGATTCAATTGGGACCATTTGTCAGTAGCCTGAGTACAGCCCATGCTTATTGCAATGGGATGGCTGCTGTGCATAGCGTTAAGCTCTATTTATACAACTTCATATTACTCTTATGTTTGCCATTAAATAATTTTGGCAAATAATTTCAAGACGAAGCGTTTCTGCCCCCAGTGATGTTTAGAAGAGCATCGATTAGTTTGCTGTACTGCACAGTAGTAGTGAAAAATAACTCAGGCTTGAGTGTGGCCAATGCAACGTGTGCCAAGGAAACAAAATGGACAAATCCCAAAACACCAGTAAAGACAGTTTGTTCTTATTAATAGAGAGGATGCCTGTTACAGTTATAGGCAAAACACATTTTCCAGCAGAAATGTCATTCTGCTGTGGCTTTGTCCCGTCCCTTCAGGGTGCCTGGGCATCCACTTCCTCTTTTAAAAATGCATGCAACACTCTGCATCACAGCTAAGGGGTTTAGAAATGAGGGCCCTGGGACACAGAGGGGCAGCAGCAAAAATCTGCCAAGGTGGTGAGCACCCAGCTGCCGGGACATCATTGCCTTTGGCGCTCGCAAGCCTCAGGCAGCTCTGTGATAGTATGAGTGAAGTATTTCGAGATCTTTCAGAAGTAAAAACTTCACCAATTTCTTGTTGCATGGGGAAACAGTGACTCTCTTCCCTCTGCAGACCGCAGAGAGGTGGTACCTGTGCATTTCCTTCAGGCAAAGCATAGCCCCCAGCGAAGTAAAATACTGTTGGAATTCCATGATTAATCTAAAGCTCTCATTTAAATTATGAAGAATACTAATTTAATGGCAAAATGTAACTTTTAAAGACAAGCCTTAACTCTACCTTCCCTATTGTGTCCTCTTAAGTGTATTTTTGACAGCAAGTCCAATGTGAAAAGGCAAATGAAATTATGTCCCTTTTTCTGTATTGAATCTGATCACTGACATGCTGCAGTATTGCCATAGAAAAATTGCACTCAGCACCTTCTTTTAGAAACAGAAGGCGCTGTGGTTTAGCAGTGGTGACTGAGAGAAAAAAAATACTTGATTTAGGCCTTTTCTGAAGACAGATGAAGGCAATGATGTAGCAACTTCTGGAGTTCCCCAAAGGGGTCTCCTACTACTTTTAAAACCACATCAAGTGATTCCAGCTGAGGCTTGGATCAAAATTATTTTTGTGTCGGAGCTCGACTTGCCAAGCAATCACAGACAACCTCCAGAAAATGTCACTGTTATTTGCGGGAGCTGCGTGAGGACACTGACACGATCAATGTGATCTAACAAGTGAACCTTTATTTCCGTGTTTCCAGTGCAATTTATAACCCTCGACCACACCCAATAAATACTGATTGGCTTCATCGCAAATAACGGCCCATAGTCCAACCTGATTGGCCACATTGCGAGTCATGTTCAAGTCACGTTCACAGATGTTCACACCCATCTTCTTCAAGAAATTAAACTGCATCATTGATGGCGGCTGTCTCTTCTCCTGCACCTGTAAGATGTTCATGCCCCCTGCACCGGAAGTTGTTTATGCTTTCAGCAGTTCCAGTACGTCCCAGCTCGGATTCTCTGGAAAGGCTGGATTGTTCACATGTCCCTTACTTCATAAATGTCCTCCCACAGTTATTTCTAATAATATTTCCAGGTTGAAAGCATTAGAAAAATGGCAGAAGACAGCAAGCTGAAAGGCTCACAATTTAATGGGCAATTGGAGAGGACAAAGAATCAAATTGAAGTTGACCAAGAGATCACCAAGGAGTTCATCCAAAAAGTGAAAGATTTCTTGTTAGGTAAATATGCAAAGTTCTTTTTGACTCATTTTTAATTTATATGCCAATTTAATAATAGATGACCAGAAATTGGTCTATCTGTGTACACATGAAATTTCTTGTCTACTTCCTGACCTGTGCGATCTTTTTCAATCCCTTTTTTCTAGTGCTTGCTTCTTTCTCCCAGGTGACAGTACTTTGTATTAATTTTCCAATAGATCTGTTACGTTCTGATTGTCATCTTTTATTAATGTGCTTAATTTGAAGCATGCAAGTAATTCCCTCAGTTCCTGGTTTATCTGAGCAAAGGACTACTAAGATAATTTCACACAATATATAATGACCATGCATGTCCAATGCATCCTCAAATTGTTATTCCACCCCATTCTTCCAGGCCCATAAATAGAGGCTCTCCATAGGGAGCGTGGGAATTAGGACACATACTGCTCCATCGTCTCCGTAAAGCTGTAACTCGAGGAATCAAAGGATTCTGGTAGAACTTCACGGCTCTCATAAAAAATAACAAAACAACCATATATACCCTAAAACTTTTTCCACCCTCACAACTGCAGACAAATGCTGTAAAAAACAGACCCTAAGGGTTTTTTACCAGATGCACATCAAAGGAGTTCAAATGTGGTAGGAATTTTTTAATCTCTTGAATGTAGCTGATCCCATCAGTTTCTAAGGATTGCATGTTGGCAGTCCTGTGGCATTCATACCTCTACATCCAAATGGGAGCGAGGACAGAGGACAGAGGACTTCCTTTGGGAACATTTAAGTTATTTTATTGAATTGGAAGAAAAACTGCATTTAAGTCCTTAAGATTCTCAGATTTTTATTCGATGGCAAGTGAAAATTCCATCTTTGGCTGTTTTACATTTCTTAGCAGACATACAGCATTTACTAACAATTCTAAAAGCATTTTTTCCAAGAATTTTTGTTTTCTAAACTCTAAGAACAGTCACAGCTGAGATGTGTACAGTTACATTAAATCTGCTGTGCTGTACATTGGCATAAACGGTAATTTTAGATTAATATATGTCTACAGAAAATAGCTCTCAGGAATGCACTACTGTTTGCACAGTAAATGTCTTCCATTTAATTCTTGGTGAGTTACTTTGGGGTATTAGCACAAACTTTTAATACGTTTCAACTGTTTTAGCACTCAAGGTCTTGTCCATAAAGGGAAGTGAGCAGAAAATAGAAGTGTTGATGAGACTTCACAAGGCATTGACTACTCTAACTATGTGTGTCCGTGCCTCTTAGCACAGAACAAGGACAAGCTCATTTGTAAGGGGAATTGTCAAAATATGGTTTTTCTACTGTAAATTCCCATCCTATCTGAGTCTGACCCAAGTTCCCTCTGTAGCTTCTCTTTTCTCATTAACCAGCGAAGGAACCACTTTCTCAATATTGTGGCGACTCCAGGGAAGGGATTACACCCACTGGCCAGCTTGGAAAGCTCCATTCACACCCCAGTCTCTCCAGCACCTCTTTGATCTGAGGGCCAAGGGAGAAATGGGCTCTGACACATCTAGCTGTGCTGTGCACCGATTTAAAACCTTCTGTGGGCCCAGTTCTACATCAGAATTTTAATAACCCAGTTCAAAGTGGGTTCAAATCCTTATTTTGGCCAGTTCTGACAACACTAACAGCAGTACCTGGAAGCATAATATTAAATTACAAAATCTTGGAGATAATTCTCTTAACCCCTTGCTGTGCCTGTCAGCTTTATTCTCCCAGAGAACTCGAAGGGTAGGCAGCCATAATGATCATTTATATTTCACTGGGAGGGAAGAGCTGCTTCAGGATACCCTCATCTCCATTTCTGTTGCAGATGAGAGCGCCCCTCCAGAAGACATTGAGAAGGTGGCAAATTATGTTCTGCAAATAAACCTTCCCCTGACTCCACAAGACCTCTCGGGCACGCTTGGCAAAATCAGGAGCATTATGAACCACTGTGAGAAGTACAAACTGAATGCAAATAAGAGAAACAGAAAAGGGGAGGAAGCTCGGATGCTGCTGGTGGAGGCACAAGAAGCCGAGTGAGTAGGGTATTCTTGTACTATGTGCCAGCTCCAGCTGGGGTGGCACTGTGCACGGTAGGACTCCTCCATACCCTGGGCAGTATCCTAGTAACACTGGAGGGAAAGTTCAGATGACAGCAGATTTCAGCTTGCCATTTCCACAGGGCCTCTCCAGCAGGAACGAGCCATGGCCGCTCAGGCTGCAGGAGCTGATATGCTGCAAGGAGGCAGCTCCCGCCAGCTCTTGGCTCCCCTGCCTGCTGAGTCAAAGAGGCCGCAGCAGCTACTTACTTCCACATTGGACCTAGGGGAGCGTTACATCTGGTTCACTGGGACAGAAAGAACCAACGAGAATTGGGGAGGGAGAAAATATGTTCACCCATGAGTCTTCCTTACCAGCAGTGCACCACCAGGCAGCCTGCAGCATCCAGCCTCACCTTTAATACAGCAGCTCAGGTGCTCCCACACAAAGTCCCTTACTGAGGTTTTGCTTTGCCAACTTACGAACCACAATGTTAACAGTTGTTGTTGGACTTGAGGGAACATTTCTGCATTTGAGCATGGGTGCATTTAAAACGTGTTCTTGCTTTGCTCTCCACACCTACATGCTTCTATTTTTCCATTTTAGCAAAGCAGCTAAAGCTCTTCCACCTGTGGATGAAATTAATAATAAACTAAAAAATGTTGTGAAGTCCCACGGACACTCCAAAAACACCTTCATAAAGTTAAATGAAGGGATACGAGGCATCAGAACACAAATCTCACAGGTATCTGTCTGTAAATCTTTAATTTATTTACTACAAACATTTTAGAAAAAGATACGTCATCTCAAAGTTTCCTTAATGTAAACTTAAATAAATAAAATCAGAATGTGCTGCAGATATGAAACCAATTCCATAATATTTAAGGGTCTTCTTAATCAGTTGACATTAATCTCCCTCATTACCACACTCTGCAAGCTGGATGGACATTGCATAAGAAACCACAGCCTTCAATTGCTCTGTTTTAGGCTGAGAACCAAGTGACCAAGACAAACGATGAACTAAACGACTTGTCAGCAAAACAGTCTGAGATGGAAGACGAAATCGCCACACTGCAGGCAAAAATGCTGATGAACAAGAATCAAGCTACAAAGGCAAAAGCAGAGGCAGAAGCAGCACACAAGCGAGCCCAGAATATTGATAACGTAAGCCTTCCCGTCACGTGTTAAGGGAAAAAAGATGCCCTCCTCAAAACCGCTAACATTTTCCTTATGCCATGCAGTGTAAAATGTTACAGGTTAAGAATAATTTATTTTTTATTTTAAGGCTTCTGGCGTATAACGCTTCTGTTTGCTTGAATGAAAGAAAAGATACACACTTCTCTGGCTACTCCGTGACATTTTTCCTTGCACTGTGTATAAGACTTGTAGTCACCATGGGCACCAGTAAGCACAACAGAACAAATCACAGCTCCAGAAATTAAAATACGTGAATGATGGAAGCAGCCTGGCCATTCATCCCATGCCGTTCTCTTTCAGAGAAAATTGCTGTGGCAGTTACTTGGAGTTTTTGGTTGGCTGGGTGCTTTTCAGTAGCTCCAATTTTTGAGAGTGCAGCTAGAAATTCACTAAAATTGCAAGGAGATCCAGGCACCCACAGAGCAAGCTTGGAGCATGACCAAGCTTCCAGGTTATAACAAACCTAGTCAAAATCTAAACTGCAGCCTCAACAGCAACCTAAATCAGCAGAGAATGGGTTAGCCAATAAATATTATTACAACCAAAAATGTAAAAAAAACCAAGGTTGCTACAGATAATTCATTAAATTTGAATTAAGCTTCATGGCAAAAAGAAATGTACAGAAAAGCCCTATCAAAAGAAGTAAAACCAGTGTAAGCTTTAAAAATCTTAAATCATATTTTCTTTATATCCTTGCCCCCTCCTTAGGTTGCTCCAATGGCTGTTTGTTTTAATTTATTCCTATCAGATTTTGCAAAGTATTGTTCAGTGTACACTCATTATGGATAATTTTTTTTTTTAAGATTTAAGAGAATGAGCGATTTCAAGTTTGGTTCATAGAGGTTATTCCAAAAAAAGTATAAAAATCTCCTTCTGTACGCCAGATTAATTATGAGATGCTCTTAAACTAACTAACAGCATTTTGTTACAGGAATTTGCTGACATGAAAAGAAAGTACACCATTCTTCAAGAAAAGCTAAAAGCCCAAGGACCTCCAAAAGTAACAGTAGAAAAAGTGAAGCAGCTGAAAGAAGAAGCAGAAAAACTGGCTGAAGAGACCGAAAAAAAAATTAAAAGAATAACAGGTGGTGTTCTCACTTCCATAGCGAGCAGTGAAAATTGTGACAGTCACAAATTAAACTGAAGTCCTTGCTCACAGACACTAACAGACGAGGTTCACCTGAAATCAAGTTTAAAACAATTTAACCAGTGAAACCAGATTGAAGCTACTCAAACAGTTTAAAAGTAGTTAAATTGATTTGGCTTATGTACTTTTCTGACACGAATTGGTTGCTATAAGTAGAGTTTAAGAAGTGTCCACACAGGGACTTGCAGTGATTTGACTCAAAGCATTTATAAACGGGACAAGTTCAAAATCTGCATAAAACTTGGCTCCAGATTTAGCTGGAAGCTTTGATTTATGCACTTGCTTTGGGCATTTGGATTTTAAATCCTTCCTCTATGCTCTGTCTTTTCTTACGTTGCCCAAGTGATGGCTTGTGTTATAGAGCTGCAGGGTAGCTGTTTTCCACCAGTCCATCCTTGTTCCCATTCAGACGTTATCTCTGAGCAACGGCAGAACAAACCAGGTATGAATACTGGCTTGTGGAGACTGAAGCCAATGTGCCCTGGACCTGCAGGGCCGTGGCCTGGAGGCAGCTGAGGGTTCATGGGCAGTGGAGACTGCAGCTGCTGCAGCCCTACTGGCACTGGTCCTCACACAGCCCCTCGGGTGGGGTCAGAGGGTCACCAAAACGGAAGAGCACATCTCATGCAATTGCACGCAGGGAAGGTAATTCTGCTTGTAGTGAAGGTCTGGGCATTCCCACTGGGAATCCCTGGGCCTAGGATCCTGCCAGGCTTGATGTCTGAAAATACTCTGTAACATCAGCAAAACTGAAGCAGAAACTCCATCTCAGGAGCGAATTCTTCAGGACAGGATCCGAATAATCATTTTCAGCACATACCTTGAGGAGCATCCCAGCCACTCCCAATGCCCATACGATAAGTGCATTAGAAAGAGGCAGTGAATAATGTGGGTTTGACTCATTTCCAATATGTTTACATTGGTGTAGCTTCACAGGGACCAGCAGAAAACATTCTTGTTATGGAGGGAGACCTAAGCCCATTACATCCAAATTGTCTAGGCTTTACACACATCGGTGGACACACTGTTCCTCTGAGTGTTTCCATTTAAACCAACTCCTTTAAGAGCTCTGTGTCCTGCCGCATCCTAGCTGACGGACAAAAGCACATGCTGAGAAAATTTCTTTAAGGCTGTCACGTTTCTCTTGCTATCCGGGAGCCAGACTTTTTCCTCCAGTTGCATATATAACATTCCGCATTTGAAATGGGCTTACTGGCTGTAAAACTGCTGGGAAAAGAAATGCTGTTAATCCCTGGTTTTTACTTACACAACAAATATGAGCATCATTGCATGTCTCTACTCTTTCAGATTTGGAGAAGAAGCTTCAGGACCTGAATCAAACCAAACAAGACAAGGCAGAGCAACTGAGACAACTAGAGGAACAAGTGATAGCCATTAAAAATGAAATAATGGAGCAGGAAAGCAAGTATGCAACATGCAAAAGTTAGGGTCTAAACAGACCACCAGGTAAAATGCAACTGAAGTCTCTGTGCTCACCACCTCCTGAGCTTCCCAGCACAGAGGGCTGTCCCCTGTAAATACATCTGAAGGTGCCTGTAGTATTTTGGCACAGTGAATAATGTAATTTTCTCTTGGTTTTTTTTTTTTATCCAGTTGAGTTTATACTGAAATAGTTTTAATAAACCAGCTGATTAAGTAATTTGGATGTAGTCTTTGAGGGAGCTCTATAATACGCGCCTGTGCACAGCCTAGGGCTTCTGGCTGTAGGGGGTTGGAAACCCAAAAGAAAGAGTGCTCAGAGAGCTGCAGGTAACTGCCTCAAAGACAAGACTCTTACCACTCTGTGTCTTCTGCTGAACTGCGACAACCTGTGGCTGTGCCACAGCCCCGCACAGGGCTGCACAGACTGGGATGGGGGCAGGTGAAGGCCTGCAGGCTTCTGTAGCCATCCCTGCTGACAGCCGGCGGCACCCCCACGGTACCATCACTCCCCCATCCCCATCTCTTCACTGAGACAGAGCAGGGGGACACTAGGAACCCTTGACCATGTGGGGGTCCCCCTGCGTTCACTGAAAATGCACAACGATAGGCAGTACCTCCGTGCAGCACTGGGCCATTAGAAGTGGGCAACAGGGAGCCAATTCCCCAGTGCCCACTGGATGGCAGTGCACAGATGCTTAATGCCGAAAACAGCTTCGAAATCATTGCTTTGTCAGTGCCCCTTCTGCAATGCTTACTTTTCTTATGCTTATAAGGACTTTGCCACATTTTTCAGTAATGCAGCCAACAACTAGAGAGTAACTCCAGCTCTTGGGTTTAAGCAGTGAGTCTAAAGGGCCACAAATGTTGAAAAAGTTTCTCCAGCTCTTCTCTCGCATGCAGCACTTCACAGAAGTGAGGGTTCACTCCGTAGTTTCTTCTAGCCATAAAGAATACAGAAATTGTCCTAAATTTTAGTTTATATTCCTTTTTTTTTTTTTGGTATAAAGAAAGAGACTGGGCCTAAGCAAATGCTATAGGAGGGCTAGAGTTTTAAAAAGAGTGAAGGGAGCTATGCCTCAGTTTCAAATTCCCACCCTTGGTATATACATATTCTTGCAGGATGCTGAACAGACTAACGGCAGCTTTCCCTCAGTTAAAATCACTTGTGTCATTCCCGACTGGACTGTCCCACAGTGAGCATCCATCATGGGCTCATTCAGCTGGGGTGAGGGGCCCAGTGCTGCTTCAGAGCTCAGGTGCAGCCCAGACCACATCTGTAAAATGAGGAATGCTCTGCAGGAATACAGGGCTCTTAGTACTTACCCACCCTCATGCCAGAAGCACAATCCTTATCTAAAAGCAAGCATTGCTTCGATCCAAGGGAGACAAACCCTCCATAGTTAGCACTCCGTGTTTAGGAAAGCTAAGTAGCATTTGTATGAGCCGAGGGGGGGTGGGGCTTGGGTGGGAATTGCTAGCACGGATGAGATTTCAGAGATACTCCTCTAACTCAAACCAGCTGTGCTGCAGGGCAATGTGCAACATGCATTACCCATATAATAGCTTCTACTGTGAAAATGATGGAATCAATTTCTAACTTTAATATAATCTAACAAAGAAACCTGAATGCAGCTATGCACAAAATTAGCGGTTTAGCTTTTTCTGAATTTTAGCACTTTAAAAAAATAATCTGTGAGGTGTAAGGCTTCTTTACAAGTTACTAGGCTGTAATCAGATGAGTGTATTTAGATTGACTTTGCCATAACGAAATCGGGCATCTCTGTTTTACTCGGAGCACACAATTCACCCAACTGCTCACATGTGGGTCTCCAGGTAACAAAGGATTTCCTGCAGGTTTCAGCGCAGCCCGGCTGCACAGCACCTGAAACATGCAAATTGAAGCTCTTAGACAGAAATTCTCAATCGAATATAAACCAAAATTATTTCATTCATGGCTTTAAAAATCTGAATTCACAAGCGGAAAGTTGAAAGAGAACTTCCTCCTAAAATCCACTGTTGGCTGTGAGAGTTGCCATATGGCTTTCGACAAGTCACGAGGATGAGAAGTCTGTAAACACAAGGCAGTTAAACAGGCCTGGAGGGAAGATGTATCTATGGGGGGAAACAGAAATCGCTGGAAGAAAAACGGAAACAGGAAGAAGAAAGTCAGCGTGGAGTCTAACCTCCCCTGCCTTCCTCCAAGCATGCTCAGACACAAAAAGCGAGCAGACCTGATGGGACCAGCGGCTACAGAACACCAAATCCACCCCGTGACAGACTCTTGAGGTTTACAACTGTGCAGCATTCCCCACTGGAAGTGGCACAAAAACTTTTAAACTGTTTTTGCAAAGTTAATTTGTGGGAAAATGCTGATATCTGGATCAAAAATACCTATTTTTAGTTCCCTCTGGCCGTCTTTCCTGTGGGCAGAAGTGGCTTCAGAAAACTGTTTCTTGAAAAAAAAAAATAAAGAAAGCAGTGTCTTGCTGTACAGCATTTTGACTTCAATGGCATCAATCAAAATGCAAACAACCAAACTGACATATAATCAAAGATATAGTTAATAAAAAATTATCTCATCAGCTCTATTTGCCATGCATTTGACCACTGCAGTGTTGTAAGGAAGCAGGTGATCAAGTGGGTCCCACTGAGGTCAAATTCTGAAATTTGGTTCTTTGAGATTATTTCCAACCCGGCACACAGACGCCCCAGGACTGTAAAGCTACTTCAGCAACCACAAGCATAGGACACTACACAAAGCTCAATTTTTATCATTTGAAGAATCAAATTAAAATATTCCAGCTCACTATTGCTCACCAGCACTGCAGAGGGACGGACACAAACAAGTTCACTGCACCTAACTACCCACACAGTGAATGCTAGTGGTTTCAGCTCTGTCTGAAAGGTGACATGGGTGACAGGTGATGTGGCCACCCTGGTCTATGGCTGCAACTCCAGCTCTATTCCTGATGCCACACAGCAGGGTCACCCCCAGGCTGGAATGCAGTGCTTTGTCACGCTGTCTGTGCAAGGCACCAAGGAGCCTAACCACTGCAGCAAGCGGCTCTGGAGGGCAACTTTAGCCCATTTTTAGGTTTAGGGGAGAACAAGACTTCTACAAGGCTATGAAACAGAAAAAAAAAAAAAAGATGAGAAAACTTCAATAAAAATTGAAAAAATATGAAAAAGAAACAGTGGCAACGAAACACTCTGTCCCTGCACAGTCACACATGGAGTGATGCCACTGCCCGTCTGCCACAGACTGGAGGAGTTCTTAATCGCAGCAGAGAAAAGCATTTTCTGTTAGTGGGACAAAAATGTTTGTTGTACTGAAGCTTAAAAAATAAAGCTGTGCTGTGATTTACATGACAGGATTGTGAAACTGAGTTAGTTTTGTGGGTTTAGAAGACCACATTGCAGAAGAGGTTTAGAATTACAATACCTGTCCTGTCAGCTTAAAATGGTTTAATTTCCTGGATATCTTTAATTAAACAGCTCCACGAGTTCTTCAATTGGGAGTCCTGGGTTATGTTTCAGACCTGGTGTTTAACCTTTAGGGCAAGTCACTTGGTATCTCTCTGTTTCTGCTTATCCATCTGTAAAATGAGAACGAACATATTTACCTACCTCGGCAGGGTTTGCTGGGACGGACAGACGGCAGCGTGTTTCCACTCTGGCACTGCAAACAGCAAAGTGTTCTTGAGGGACACCAGTACCTGGTAAAGATTTATACAAGTTTACGTGTTACACGTGTGCAGGCAAAACTTGGGTATATAAACCCAGGCGTCTGTCCCAGCCTGCGCCCAGCCAGGGCTGCACTCTTCCAATGTGTCTGTCCTTCGTACCCAGTCCTCGGTATTTATTTACCAGTAAACCTTGTCCCTGGGTGCCGAGGGGGCTCTGCTGCCAGCCAACGAAGACCCCACGTCCCCTAGCAGAACCCAGGGCACCGAAGCAGGAGGCCGGGAGCGCCGCGGCAGCTCCAGCACAGCCATTCACCCCGCGCAGCCGCCCCAGCGCAGCCGCCCCAGCACCCCTGGGAAGGCAGCAGCACCGCATGCCCCCAGCTAACGAGAAAACGGGCTCTCTGCCCGCGCCAGGGCCGGAGCCAGCCATGAATGGCAGCACGGCCACCACCCCCAGGAACGGCACTCCCGAGCCACCTGTGTTGGCACCACAGCTCCGGGCGATGCGGGGCAGTTGACCGTCATGCGTGACGGTTGCCAAACCCCTGGTGCGTTCCACCCACCCATCCCTCCATCTCTCCCAGGTGCCCAGCCCCACTAGCACCCCGGCAGAAGGCAGGATTGGGTCAAAAACCCCATCCCTAATTGGGTCAAAACCCCCGTCCCTTCATTGCATCCCACAGACACGGGCAGGGAGAGGGGTCGCCCCATTGGTGATCCCCCCCAATTGCTGCACCCTGCCCAGAGCCCGCTCCCAAAGCTGGGGAGCAGAAGGGAAGGCACAGCTTGGGGGGGTCCCTCGGGGCTCCCCAGTTGCAGCGGGCCGGGAGTGCCTGCCCCC